GGCGCGGGAGCGCGGAGCCGCGCTCCGCTCCCGACGATGCTGCGGGGCGATGCCCGGCGCCGGCGAGGACGAGATCTGCCAGAAAGCGCTGCAGCTGCTGGCCGAGCTCTGCTCCGCCGGGGCCGTGGAGAACGAGAACTGCCGCGATTTCATCTACTACCTGCGGGACAGAGCGCGGCCCCGCCTCAGCGACTCAGGTAGGGCCGCCGGGGCTYCCCCGGCAGCGGCAGCAGCGGCCGCGGGCGGCGGGACGGAGGCCACCCCGCCCGGCGCGCGGCTCCCAGCCCGGCTCCCGAGGCTGTGTCCGCGGCCGGGATGCGCAGCCGGGCGGCGGGAGATGCCACGGAGCACAAGTTGCCGGGCTCGAGCCTCTGCGAAAGGGGCTATTGAGCTTGCACACGGATGAGGAGGAATTTAAAGGGTGCACCACAAACCACATGGATGCTTGCAATACTGATAAGCCTGTCCCAGCCCTGTATTTCTTTCCTTAACGTTCTCTGTAGTAAATTAGTTTGTTTAGCACAGAGCAGCCTAGTCACAGTAGGAAAGGTCTTCTTGTAGTTAGCTTATCAGAAAGAGCATTCGGAGAGTAACTTACTGCCAAGCACACAGACATGCTGAAAGGCCTTGAGCAATCCAGTAAATAAAACTGGGGGGGAGGTCTTCCCTTGCAATAAATAAAATGAGTTTTCCTACGTTTTGGTTGCTTGCATCCAGAGCTGTTTGCAGTCATTCTGCCTTCCTCTGTCTCTTAAAAATATCTGATTTAAGGTGATTCATGAAATGTTTCATAAGAATTTTCAAAAGGAAAGATTAGGTGGGTTTCATTGTTTTGGTTAATATAAGTAATAATTTTGTATCAGGCACCTGTGATATTCTCTAATTTTCTCTTGCCAAGGGATCAATCACATACTTGGTACCAGGTGMTAATTCCCAAAATGTCTATTTAAATCAAGGCTCAGTTTGAATGCTAAACTACTTGAAATGCAGCAGACTTTAATCTCAGCTACTTGGGCAAGAGCTTCTGAGATTTCCTTCAGAGAGCACAATTTTTTTCCTTAGTCTCAGGCAAAAAGGATCCCTGGCATCTGTTTGAGAGCGCGTCCTAAAAAATAGTTTTGTGTTTCTAGTCATTTTGTTTAAACTGCTGGCACACAGCAGACCTGTGGTGCCCTTGCAGCCCTGCTCAGTTACACAGAGTGGTGGCCGCTGACCTTGCCGGCCAACGTGCAGCAGCAGCAGCGAGCAGCCCTGCTGCAGGCAGCATCTCTCCATTGGCCTCAATGCGAACACTGCATTTTATGCAGCTGCAAGCAGCCTCCGAGGGTCTAGCAGGCCTCGACTCAGAAACCTTCCCAGTAGGGTAGCTATGTTATGCCAAGGATTAATAAATTTAACTTGCCCTGTATTTCTTTGGTTAAAATACCTGTGTTGTTCTAGATAAACTGGATGCTCATAAGATTCGCTAGGCAGTCATTGGATTTGTTGACATAGGCAGTAGGAAGACAGTTTACTTGACTTGCCGAAAGAGAAAGTAATACAAATCACCATGACAGGAGAGTATGTGGACCAAATCCAGCTTAATTTACATAGCGAGTTTCATTAAGAGTAATCAATGGTGAAATGTCATTAATAAGCCCTGATGAGAGATCTATCCATTTTCCAGCACCTGGTGCTAACATAGGGACAAAAATCTGTGGTGAAAGACGGAATATTCTTGGCAGAATTAGGGAAAAGATGCTTTAATTTTTATAACTTCAAGTCTTTTCTTGCATGAAGATGACTTGTGTTATTCAAACCAAGCAACTATCTCTTAGGCCAGGCTAAAAAGCTCTGCAAAGTGTGCGATATTGTTAGAGGTGAGAAGAGTGCAGCTAGCAAGCGTATGTGAAACATTTTGTACAAGTTGTTGTGAAGAAAGCACATAGCCACCTAAGCCTATCTGCATGGTAAATAAAGACAGTACAGTGCATGTTTGGTTTGGCCAGTCATACAAGCAGACTCTGGTATGTGAGTGGCAGCAGCGCTGCAGTGGCTACTAAAACTCACAGCCTAAGGGAGGAAGTGAAGGGCGATGGGTGCTTGAGCCAGATCCCAAAGTTTGTCCATGGCCTCGGCCTTGTGCGCCCCTCAGCCCCAGTGCAGGTCCCCCGAGAACGGCTCCGTTCTTGCCTGACATCTGTGCCTCTCTGTGTAGCTTCTGCCATCTGAGTATTTAGGGCAGGGCACAGACTGGGGAAAAGGCTGGATGCTTGGGATATGCACAGATCCTTGTCTTATTGTTTTTTTTTTTTTCCTCCTCATGTAATTTGCCCTTATGCTGTAAGTACTTTTGGGCAAAGTACTTACAGCATAAGTTTAGCACTAATCAGCTCCTCGTTTAATGCACAGGTCCACTGGATTTAAAGGGTGACATGATGTTAGCTGATAAAAATCTTTAGAAAACTAAAAATGATAATTAGGAACTTAATGAAAATCTTCAATTGCTTCACTGAGAACTTCATGTCAGAGCACCTTTAAAATCTGAGTAGGCCTCTGTTTGTATCCTTAAGCATTTAGATATCTTAATAAGCTGGACCCTCATCTGTTCCATTCCTCCATTTACTTTTTGTAAAATGTTTACAGTATTTCTGTTATCACAGAAGGGGTTTATGAGGATAAAAWTGCCATAGAAACTCTGAGCACACTAGATATACTAGATATATAGATATTCATTTGGAGAATTCACATGGACCTGACTGAGTCAGGTGGAAACTCTTAGTCATAAGGCATTGGGAAACTATCATTCAGACACAAATAATAGCACCCCATGGCACCAGAAAACGGCCAAAGAAAATTCTGCAGATGAAGAAAGGGAGTTATTTTACTGACGAATTATACCAGCTTGCCATGAAGGATCTTAATGGAGAGACTGCTTTTAAAACAGGAAGACAAAAAAAGTCATTTCCATATGGACTATTCCTGTAATGGATTCACCTTGCAACTTTTTAATAGAAGAGCTTGATGTGCAGGACAAAAAAAAACTAACACAAAGGGCATTTACACTTTCATACTTGTGCCTTTGGACTGTTAGACAAACAAACATTTTGGAGGGAAAGAAAAATCAAGAGGAACAATTACATGCTTCTCATATAGGATAGTTACAAGTTTGGCACGCAAGAGAGGAAAGAAGTTGCCCTTCTGTTGCTGACTAAAATGAGCACAAGCTGCTAAGTGGCTGTGGATTGCACTGCTGTTCCAAATAATGTGGCTGCATCAGAGTTGAACGAAACTTCAGAAATTGATCTTAAAGCTTTTGTGAGTTATTTGTTGTTGGAGTTTATTTTTACAAGGGTGCAGCAGAGAGCAATTTCCCAGAGATGGCAGTGGTAGGTGCTCTTGCTCTGTGCTGCACTTCTGCACTAGCTCTTGTAGTGTCTTCCCAACTTTGCAACTGCTTCTGTTGCCTGACTACTTTGTATAGGATGCAAGACATAGCAACAGTGCTCAATGTATAGTTTTATGTTTGCTGGTATTGCTGAAATATTAAGGAAAGCAAGTTATGTGAAGGACAATCCTTAAGGAGAGCTGCATCCTGACACTATGTCACACAATGTTACACACCCCTACCACTTTTTCTTCCATTAGTTAAAGAGTGAAAGCATGAAACCCTGAGAAACTTAAAACTTAATAAAAAAAATTGGAAAGGTCATGGGAAGCTTTTAGGAACCTGCAGAGAGGGTAAAATGAAAGATGTTTATGGAGAGATGGGATGTATAAGGAGGATAGGCAATTAATCATGGTGAATTTTCATTAATGTCAAGTAGAATAATGAGAGTTGAAATACAAAGTAAAGCTTCCTACTCTTGTCTGTTGTCTTGGGCTGCACATTTTGAGGATAAGCCAATAAGCTAAGAATATTATGTTATTCTTAATTATGATACTTCAAAATTGAACACATAATGAATATTGTGGGTTTAGTGATAGCTATTAGACATAAAATATGCTACAGGTCATTAGTAAGACATCAATACTATATAGTCATAGAAGGACAGATTTTAGCATTTCATTGAAGATAGTTGACTGCAGTCAAGAAAACAAAAACAGTAAACTCAGAAATGTGATGGATATTAAAGTAACAGTATGAGAAGGTAAAGCTACACGCTTGCAGTAAATTAAATTAAAACTCTTCGTCATTATTTTAAAAAGTTTACCTTCAACTTATTTCTTAGGCATAAGAAGTAGTATATATTACATTGTCAACCAGAAAGGCAGAAGAGCAAGTAAAAAGGCATTAATTGGCCTAAAGGCAGCATTCCACCTTACCCATGAGAGATCTAAGTCAGATTTTTGCGCTAAAAGTATAACTAAGATGGACTGTTCACTCCATAGAAGCTAATACTATGGGAGATTTTCTGTATCCAATCTCAATTATGGTATTTCTCCAAGTGTGAAATTATTGAAATTATGTAGATTAATTATATTAAATTATTCAACTGATAATTAGGTCTCAGATTTTTAATGAATATATTATATAATATAATATGTATTATATAATATTGAATTTTAATTTGTCAGAAACTGGAATCTTAATCATTTTCAGTCTCTCTGAAAATCTCAGTTTAGGCTTATTCAAATTTATCATTCACCACCTGTCATCAAGTGGTGTTCCAGCAGGCTTCTCTTTAATTTAGAATTGAAAACAATTTAAAAACAAAACCTGTCTTCAGAAAACTGGTTCAACTTTTAAGAGGGTATCTTAACTCAAAAATAAATCACTAGATTTTTTTTCCAAACTTTGAAAGAACATTTATCAACAGTTAAGCTGCAGGATTTAATCTAGATCCTAAATACATTTAGATTTATCTAGACAATTTAAAAATCATTTAGAGATGTTAAGGACATGAGAAAGATTTGAGGGGGTGAAATAACTTTTGGTATGTTTTTATTTTGATGTAACTTATGAGTTATTGCTTTCCCTATTCTTTTTTTCTCCTGCAAAATGAATGTAAAATGCTACCATTCAGAATTGACAGTATCCTATATGCTGTTAGTACAGAGCTCTCTGTAAGACAGCAGACAGGTATGAATCATATTCACTGACATAATGTCAAGTGAATGGTTGTGTGTGGACCAAATACTTTCGAGTTCCTAGAGTATCAAGAACCGAAATACTACTTTAAAAAAAATACAGTACTACTGGTATTTTAAACTGCAA